CATCGTGTGTCATATATTAGGTTGGTCGAAAAGTCCTGCGACACTTTGACCAATTTTTCGGACTAAATTTTCAGTCACTAAAAGACATCTCCAATCGACAAGGTTATCACCACTAAGGACTAGAGACTAGTGCCTTCTTTCTGCAACACCTTCTCATTTCCATTTCCTTCTAGAACTACCGGGCAAACTATGATAGAAGAAGAGGTGACCTCATTTTTGAGTAGACGTCGATTTTCGGAATTTTTGCCTTCTTAAGGATGAGGTAGGGATCAAAAATGGTAGTAGTTAGAGACTGCTAACTTTGATGAATAAGCTGGGTATGGTCGCATTCTCAGATCGAGATCCACGATCTTTTGGTGTGGCCTGATCTCTAACATGCGGTCTTCGCAATGCCGAGCGCTAGAGAAAAATTGAGTATTTTTGAAGAATTCAAGCTTGACGTCATCCATGTTGTGAGGTCGGTTAGAGAGGACTGTAGTCCTTACCGTTATGCTAGTACTATTTAGATACCGCTTTGAAGTCCCACCAATAACCTACTGAAATCTTTTTCCCATGCACATCTGCTTTTGGCTGTGCAATCTACTTTTCTGTTCGAGAGATCCTGCGAGGAACATGTGCAAGATGTACGCAAGGACCCCACCACTCTCTACCAACCACAAGATCTCACAAAAGTTCCTCCAGTGTGTACAAGGAAAAAAAACCCAGTCACGGTCATACGGTATGACTTGTCAGAGGGGTTCAACTCATGGGGCATCCTTCATAAAAATTTTTTCCAAAAACCGAGACTGCGGAGAAGCATGGCAGTTGTCAGTTAGGTGGAGCCTAGAGAGGTTGCCTACTTACTGGTGGTTACGTTCGGCTGCGCCTCAAGAACCTTGAGTAAAGGGCCGTCATTCTGTGCTGGTGGCCTACCTATACATTGCCCTACCTCCGAGTGTAATAGTCCAGCCTGGAAGCCGCTGATGCAGAATGGAACCTTCTGCTTATAGGCAAAGCCGATATCCTTCCTTTAAGACAACGTAGGTTTACTTCCTTCGCTATGGCGGCGACTTGCTCCTACAGGAACTTCATAATATGGGACAGGCTCGAGGAGTGACTCCATCCGACTCCTTCTGACGTTATTATTTCACAGCTCTTGACACACTTCCACGTAGCGCCTAATGCTATACCCATTTTCAGAAAAACCTCAGGAGACATTCTCCACTAATCAGAGATAAAAACATTCAAAATGATTTTTGGTCTTTTTCTAGAATAGTTCAAACAAAGTGTCGCAGGACTTTTCGACCAACCTAATGACTTGTAGTGTGCTGTAGGTACATAGTGATGTCAGGAGGAGGACGGACTGGTGTCGGACACAGATTTGTGCCTCTACATTTAGGACCTTGTTAGGAGTACTCGTCCTGTTACGTTAAGGCACTTCTCACCAGCCATTCGACTGATTTCCGCGGCCTATTTTTTGAATTTCCCGTTAGTACAACGGGATCGCCGTTTTTGAAGGAAGTTTTCTGGCTTTCATGCTTCTTGTTCTAACTGTAGTCCATTGAAAGAGTGCGCGTCTGCCTTTTTTGTGGAGTCGGCTTGAGCAGCGAGAGAGCAACCGTAGTTTTGCTTGGAGTCGTTCGACATCCTTGTATAATACATTGCTGGGAGTGCGGCATAAGGTGCCTGACGTTTCGGACGGAACACTTGCTTTACGTCTTCCTTGAGACGTGGTGTAGCTTTTGACAGCTTGTATAGCCCGAGGTCGCTGCTGAAGACTTCTGGATAAGCGTCTTGTAGTTCTTTTGCAATTTGGTCGTTGCTTGAAGTGGTGCTGCTGACGTTGATTGCGATAGAATTTCCGGGATCGACTCGTGGGAGAGTGTCCATGAGGCTGTAGATTCCCATCTTGGAGATCCATTCTGCACCGAGTAAGTTGGGCTGAGTACGGCCGACGTAATATATTCCTTGAGCTGTCGTTGAGTTGAAGCTATATGTGCAGCTGCGTTGACCAAGGAATTGGATGCGATCTCCGGAGGCACTGTGAGCGATAAGCGACGGTGGCTGTAGTGGCGGTTTGCCCATGAGCTTCCATGTCGACTCGTTGATGATCGTAATGTCCGCGGCAGTGTCCACTTGGAAATTGACTGGTTTGCCATCCACCACTATCGTTGCATATCGTCGATAGTTGTCATCTTGCTTGACACGGTGAATACTGCATCAGATCGCGTTGTTGGCTTCGATGAATATCGTCTGGATCGCAGGGGGCGGCTGGCTCGTCTTCAATATCCTTAATTGTGACTGATCTTGCAGCAGTGGAGCATTTGTGTCGTTGATAGGTACACTTTCGTGCATTGCTCCGCATAGCCAGCATGGAGATGGAGGGGGCTTTGGGAAAAGTGAGGAGCTGGTTAGTTTTGTCGCGGACCGCCTGAGGGTGTTTAGACGACTGGAGCTGGTTGTCTGCTCGTCCTGTCGGTCCATGTCTGATCGCATGCACTTGGTGATCCATCTTCGACCATTTTGGTGTCCTGCTTGAGATTTGTGAGCCGCTTGCACTCTTCTGTGAGAGATTGAACTGTGCACTTTGAGTCGGCTTCGATTTTGTCCAACAGCTTGAGTCGTATGAAGGCGTCGTCGCTCGATTGTAATCCGCTTACGAAGATGAGGCACTTGAACTGGTTGTTGTCGCACTCGGATAGTTTCAACTCGCGGTTGACTCGTCCAGCATAGGTGATGAAGTCTTCGCTTGGATCCTTAGCTAGCTTCATGCAGGCGTAGCGACGGCTGAATAGTGACTGTTGTGGTCCAAACAGATTGGTCAGTGTCGAGACGGCTTCATCGAACGTGACGTCTCGTGGCGTCTTCGGCAGGATGTAGCTTGAATACTTCTCGTAGGCGGTAGCGTCCAATTTGTGCAGAAGAAGTCGAACGAGAGTTGGATCATCGAGCGTCTGGGCATCTACTTTGAAGATATCCTCGTGCCTGTGGAACCATGCTTCGAACGTGAGGTCCGCTTCCGGGTCGTAGGAGAACTGCGCGATTCGTCCTGCCAGCACGTCGAAGGTCCTGGTTGCTTCTGCCGTTGGTGACGTTGGCTGCTGCGGCTGCTGTTGTGCGAGTCCCTTGACGGCGTCCGTGAGTGCAATGAGAAGTTGCTGGAACTGCTTGTTCATCGTCGCCATTGGAATCCTGATCGCCACTGTTCAGTCGTGGAAGGCAGAGGGCAGTGGAATAGACAGGCATTATTTATCCAGACAATTGACACATAACGCAACAAGAAAATTGGGTATATAGTCGCTTTGAGATCATTAATAGGTGCGGTACTACCTAATACGGTAGGTAACGACCAAAAGTAATGGTCATGGTGGGTCGGTAGATCAATCCGATATCTAACAGTGACAAGGAAAAGTCGTCAGGCATCTTACCCTTTTCCCGCGGACCGACGACTGCCAACCGCCGAGGACGGTCCTTGCTACATTTGAGGTAAATAGGAGAGATCACTGTATGGTGCCTTTTCCGCCGCTCAAAAATCCATGGGAACGAAGTG